CCACCAACACGTCACTTATCGCATTCTCTAATATTCCAGACTTGAATGCGATCGATTTGTGCCTTGTGAGTGTCTGGGCTGTTGACCCTTTCCCAACGGTCGCCAGTTTCGCCCATCTTTCATTCAATTTTTATTTATTCCGTACCGACGGCAAGAAAATATACAGGGTGAGATATTCGTTTAATGCCCAAGTAACAACGACTTTGACTATACGACAAATTGTCCAAGAAGTTCACGAAAGGATCCCGTAAAGTCATTTCCGTTTCTCGTTTCGCGCGCCCCCTTTGAATTAATAGCTACGACCGTGTCTTAATTGATAACGAAGGACATTAAGATTTCGCATAATGTCTCGAGAGATAGAGAAATCGCGACAGCCATTGCCTGGCAGTTTTCACGGAAATGCATTGTATGTGTATATATGTATATACATATATTGTAAAGTATTTTCTTAGCTCGACACCGACTTCGTCCATGCATCCGCATGCGAGGCGGGAGCCAGCCAATTCCTTTTTTCAATGAGAACTGGGTATGACCTGGGAGTTCAGGTGGAAAAGTCTCAACTACGCCAAAACGAGAGTTCTGAAACCTATCAGAAGAGACGGTAGTTTAATGAATCCTGTCGATTTTTTGGCACATACAATTAACAAACGCAACTGGATGCACGAACGGGGGCGAACAGTTACGAAAATGCGCGGCCACTAAGCCTGCTAGGCTCAAGTAGACAAGGTCGCAGGAAGCATCTGGTAAATAGCGCCGGAAATAGGGAGGAATTTATCGAGAACGTAACAGATGAAATCGGAGCTAAAATCGAAATCCCTCCACCAATAATAAATTGGGGGTGCTCGCCGGAGCTGATACAGCTGATTCGGCCGAGAACTGCATCCAGGAGACAGTCAAGCATTGAAGTAACTGTACGAAACAACCCGAGAACGCAGCTTCTGATCACTGTACCTACTCGAAGGGAATCAGAAAGCGAGAACGTCATCTGAATCGGTAGCCGGAGTCGCCTTGTGACGTGATTCGAAAAATCACGTGACAATATACATGTATAGCGCAAGAAGGAGTTATAAAATAATGTCTCTCTCTTGAAAATGTATATTTGCATTTGAAATTTTTACGATACCCGCCATCGTGCACTGTATTATTATATATATATATATATATATATATATATATATATGTGTGTGTGTGTGTCATACAGCATATATACACTTATACACTCCGTTATTCCTTTACTGTTTAGATCTTGATATTGCGAGGAGTTTAATATCTCGCAAAGCAGACAAAAAAACAGTATAGCATATCTTTGAGGAAAAAGGTCATTGGTATTTCACGGTGCTGGTTTCCGGCATTTCTCGCGCGTCCGCCAAACGGAAGTTACCTTCCACCTACATGACCGAATACACTTTTACCGGTGCACAATGTATTCCATTTTATGAGTACCGAGGCACTCAGATTTTATTACGTTATTTTGTTAATGCACTATGCGCGGAGTCGCCGAGGCGAAATGCTTCACTTGAAAAATATTATATCCCTTAGACCGGTGGCGGAGCTATGAAATATTTTATACCCACCTACTTGCGTTTCTTCGATTTTTACATTTCCCTTCGTACCTACGACATACCCATCCGCCTACATATATCAATAATATCGCGAACAATTCTCGGAACGGAACACGAAAAATCGCTTGCGCGTAAACAAAGTGTGATAGAATCGAGTTTCAGTGTAAAAGGTGAAAAAAATGTATTAAAAATACAGCTGCGAAATTTTACACGGCGACGCAATACATGCTTATAGATATTCCTAGAGATTTTGAGCCACGAATCATCACCTTGGAATACGCTTACCAATCTCTTTAAGTGTGCGATAACGTTTGCGTCCATGACGATGGACCGTAGAGAGGCGTTAAGATGAATTTTAGACACCATAATCCATGGTGTTTTAACATGCCAAAAAGCTGTCCTGAACGCCGATCGGTCAGCCATGGTTTTAATAGCGGACGTTTAAATGCACGTAACTGTTACAGTCTTGTCGTTAAAGGCTCTACGTTTTCAAGGGTTGCGGTCTGTCAATATACCGGAGGTATTTTAATGGCGGTCATAATTTCTGTCACGTGTGATAAATCATACAGCTTCGAGTGGATAGAGCGTGACGTACGCACGGGTTTAGTACCACGCACTTGGTAAATCATTTGGGGAAACAACGGCGGTTTGAAAATTTCTTATGTGAGTCACGATCGCCTGTACAAGATTGATCAATTGGTTATACCGATACAAAGTATACAAAATTAACACGTTGTAACAGTACGCGCGTAATTGGAGAGTTTCGTTGATTTTAAATGTTCGTAAGTATGACAAATGTAATATAACAAGAATAGAGTAAGGGTCTTTATGAAATTTTCATGATGATATTCACCTAGCATTCCTGAGAGTACACGTGTCGTATCGATTCTGTAGATACACCTAAGCAACTGTAAGCGTGAACAGCGCGGTGTTAGTAAATTCCTAATCTGACTCATTGGGAGTACCCAATATTACTACAGTCGGTAAATATAAGATACTAGTATAGAACCGGGACTACATATTAATGTGATATTATTTTGTAATGTGTGAATAATTTTGAATTAGAATTTTTAAATGTAAAATTTTGTTTGTAATTTGTTTTTCCAATTATTGTACCGCACACGTGTTTGGCTGGTACGAGTACCTCTCTTATAACAAGTAACCTGTCATTTATGTCTAACCACTTGGTTTTGATTTAGCTTACGTAATGCATAAAGTCACGTGCGCCACCTTCCACCCCGTCTAGCACATAAATCACGAATATAAAGTCAAATTAGAAGACTGCGCGAAGTCAATTTGTATTGTCAAGAAACGCAATGGCTAATGCTTTTTCGACGAGCATAAAATAATTCAAGCAAAGGAGATAATTCGACAGCCGTGAAAGCACGTGGCCGCATCGTTAGAAATCTCATTAGAGACTCTGGCTTATGTGAATAGAACGTATGTAATGAAGAGTAGAAACATAACATGCATTATATTTATATGTATTGCAAGACGATGCACACATTATTACATTTTCTGACTAATCAAATGACATAGTTGCTATTCGTATCCGGTTAATACCTAATATATGAATACAATTATTTTTCAAATTTTCAAAACAACCAAGAGAAACATCAGTAATCCTGTTTACAAAGAAAATAGCAATGTTAACGTTTCAAATCTCTGATCATACAATACGTTAACATAACGTGTCCCACGAACTAATATCGGAAGCTCAATAAAGCATAACGAGCCATGCTACACAACGACCCACAGAGCCCTTTCCAATTTTTCAATTTCCATTTTACGTTTCCCACCATTTTCCGCGCGACAGCACACGAAAAATCCACAAAGCGTATTTCAAATTGCCCTGGCAGAGTAGAACAGCATGAGTGAGTCATGTTTCCGTATGTCGAGTGAAAAAAAAAAAAACTAATAAAATGGACAAAGAAAGAAGAAAAAAAATGTTACTACGTATTTCGTTCCCCTCCGACGATCCCTTCTTCTTCGTTCTCCAACACGCCACCCCCTAAAATGCATTATGATTTTTTTGGCGACCACTAAAAAACATCACGCTGTCTGCGCAAACGCTAAACGTGTCTAACCAAGGCAAAAATGTAACTCACGCTATGCAGTCTGGCAGTTTGCTTGGTAATTTCCACGTATGTATGTGCTTCTCATGGGGTTCGTGTTTCAAGGGACTCGTAAGGTTGTCATGACCCAATTTAGGTTTCGTGACACAGGCAATGGAGCAGCCTATCTTGCAGAGCGAGGCTTTTATTATTTATTATTTCTCGACGGAAACAATTTTCTTCACAAACCAATCCGATTGACGGTCACGCACGATATTAAGTGCGTAACGATGTCGTTTGGGTTGGTTTTGTTGACGAACGGCTGCAGGTACTAAATCAAAGAATAATTTTACCTATATGATTTCATTGTTTGCTCTGCCCACTTTTCGTTCGATAATCAGTGGTACGATGTACGTACAAAGTCTTGTTCTTTATTTTGTTTATGAAATTTTGTTTGGGAATTTACAAACGTTGTATTTAATGATATCATATTAATTATTCTTTTGATGATTTAACCTACTTTAACGCTTAATACTACTTTTATCACTTTTTACCCAGATTCAAAATCTTTCCACACATTGTATCGGGGTTGAAAAGGAAAAGATTATTATGGGGTGCTTCCTTCTGAGAGACTGTCTTGATTATTTCCTGTCCCATTACACCCCCTACGATAGCGCATACCGGGCTGATTTGAGCGTAAAGGTCACCTCTAAAATAACCCCACGATTAGTAGCGGGAAAGATTATGATATTTATGTATGCTTATAAAAGTTAGAAGATACTTGTTTCATTTACTCATTGAATGACAATCTACTTACGTTACCAAGTTGTTTATGCTGTCGCATAGATTATATTTTTCAATGATGGCGGTCACTTCATTTTTCAAATTCTCGTTGTCCCTTTCACTTGGTAACGGATCCGTGCCATATTTTTCTCGGTAGTTGAGCATTACTGACAATCAAAGAGCACTTTAAGACTATTCCATAATATTAGCTTATCTAAAGTGATTTATTAATTTGAGAAACTTACTTCTTAGAAGGTAATATGTTTCAGACTCTTTGGGAAGTTTCTGGGCGTTTAAGATATTATCAAATGGAGTGAACTTTATTGTTCTCTTTACCGTTGTTACTATATTTTCAAACTTTCCTTTGCCACCTGGTTCACCACCTTCTGATACTTGCATTTTTTTAGACTGAACCACATCCCTATGGATTGTAAATGAATGGAATAACTTTAGTACAAACTCGCTCAATAATTCGAAATTAAAATGATTTATCATATAAACGAGGATTATTATTAAGATGTATGGAATATGATTTTATTCTATACTTACTCAACAAATTCATGTGTTCCTAGATCAGCAAATGTATATCCAAAACTTCCCCACACGTCACCAACAAAAAATTTGACATTGTATTTACGACAAGCAGCATTAATCCGTTGTATTTGTGTAATGGTACATTCGGAAACGCACACAACATCAAAATTTTTGAAGAATGAATCTGGCTTATCATCTATCTTCTCAGTATCTGCGCTAACTACAACCATAGGATTCAAATTTTGTGCTTTTTGTAAAGATGCCTCAGCTCTCTGAAAATAAATATATTATCAGAGTTTATAAAAACATGTTTCTTTTTCAATGAAAAAACAAATTCTTACTTACATTTTTTCCAAGTTGCGTTTTTGGAGCAAGAAACTGCGAACACGTATCCTCGATTCGAAGATCCCTATGATCCAAAAAAGTGACAGACTTTACTCCTGCTAAAATAATATTCTTAGCAACTTCAGCAATGAATCCATTCAACCCTGCTAGTAAGATATTTGCAGAGCGCAACCTGTGAAATGAAATGTGATATGATTGTAATATAATTATAGAGACTACATGCAAGTAATCCATATTATTACATCTAAATTATGACATAACCCACTGTATAGTCGCAATACTATTCTTTGAAGAATATATTTTATATAATATTCTTACATGTTCCCCATGCCGGCGTATTCATAGGTTAAGGTAACACTACACTTACCGTTTCTGAGATTCTAATCCCCATAAACGAATTTGTCTATCGTAAAGTTCAGCTTCGGCATCGGTAAGCTCAATAATATCATCTCTTTGATCTACCATCGTGAAAATATTGATAAATCACAAAAACCTTTCGACCGTTGAAGACCGGGTGCCCAAATAATGCGCGATATACAAATCAGTGCTACCAACTGTATCAAATAATTTTAAAAAATAAATTTGTGCTAAATCACCGAACATAATGAAATTCATACTCATTAAAATAAAATATAAATTACATTCATTGTTGCATACAAGTCATGTGAAGTATAACAGCGAAATGTTCTTGACAAGTATTGCTACACAAAGGCAATGAAAACTTTATTACATTCTATGTTGGCAGCTTGTAATTAACAACACGAGAGGTGTCAAAGGGGGCGTCAAATAAACTTTTCTTTGGTTCTGTCAATTGTGCATGTGTACGTACAATGTGTACGGATTAATAATTATGTGCTTGAAAGGCAGAGATGCTATATAATGAACAATAATGAACCAACGTGACAATAACAGTAAAAATATACGCAGCGCTCGTTCATATGTGTACAAGGAGAAAACGTTTGATTGCAAATTATTACTTGTAAAGTGATGATAATACACTCAGCTATACATAATTGCATTTTTTACAACAATGAGTGTAATGGCAAAACAGACTTTGAATTATCTTTGCACTTTTACGCTGTATGTCATGAAAGCTATCCTCTAAGAAAACTGTTCATTGCCAAATTAAATCAAATGCTTGGCTGTAGTTGATCTGAAGCTTTAATGACTATGAGATTTTAGTTTATCCAACCAAAATTGTTATGCCAATGTATATAATAGTTGCAAATTGATTTGATATTTCATTGTCTATACTATCCATACGTTATTATAACGTAGTGAATAAAAAAGATTGATATCATTGATTTTGGAGTATATCATCAGAAATTAAAAGTGAAAGCAAGAAAAGTAACAATATGGCTGAGGAAAGCTATGTTGAGAAGATATTTACATTTAAGTTTCCAACATGTACAACCAATCAAGAGTACACATTGGAAATTCCTTTAAAAATTCCATACAGAGGCTCCATAAAAGAATTAATGCATCGCATAATGACTGCATTTAAATTGCCATGTTATGTTGAGACTGATTTGTTAAAAGCACTTGAGCAAGCTGTCCATGAATTAACACTCCAATTTCACGATGAACAGGCAGAGAAGCTCATTGATGCTGCTAGAAAAGGAACATTGGACATTGAAGATATAATAAAAAATTGGGAAAAGATTTATAAACAAAAAACGGTTGAATACGCAGAACCAGTGGGAACAACTGATGAAGAGCTGTTTGCAGCAGCTTACCACAAATTAGTTCATTCGCCATCTTTGGAACCAATTCTACAAGCTGAACATGAATTTGGAAAAGCGGTCACTGAAGTTATTCAAACAAGAGACAAGGACATTGAGCGTTTAACAAAACAGTTAATACCACTTTCATTTCTACATCATAATATGAACTTCCTAGTATTACTCATCAAACTATGCATTCTATTTTCTTCAATAAAAACCTGTAATCCGTTAATGAATCTTTGTTAATTGTAGTAATGTTTGTAACAATTGTGAACATCCACTTTGCTTCTTATCTATTTCAAAAGAGCATTTAATGAAGTTTCCCAATGATGGACTTAATATCATTTGTCTCTTAAGAAATGTGGCACAAGTTTTATACTATTGCTCTTTCGACCTTAGTTACCTATTGCCTGTTATTCGAATCACTATTGTTCTGCTACCTTAGTTGATGCTGTATTAGTAAACATATTAGTTAAAACTTAGGACAAGCATAAAAGAAACGGGATATATCATAAATCATATTTTACAGGCAAACAGAGGAAACGCACATGGCCGTGGAAACGCTTGAATCTGGCTCTACCGAAAAATCTATCAATGAAATGACAGCACGACACTTTGAGGAGCAGAGTTTATTACAAGGCCACTGGGGATCTAGAGTTGACGCTTTAAAATTGGAGCAAAGACGACAGTACCGAAATTGGATTATGAGATTATTAGAAGAGCAGCAAACCAACATGTTACCAACTCCAGTGTATGTTCTCTAATATATCTAAAGGTTCAATATGGAGTTCAAACCAAGACAATAAGGCCTAACGATAATTGTATTATTCTTTACAATTAACACAGAAGCTCTCCTATGATACCAATGCTACCAATGCGCCCAGGCTTTTACACTATTAATAATAATGAAGACAAAAATACTGCAGAATTTCCACAACTCGAAGAGAGCTTTACCACTCATGTAGGAAGTCAGATGAAGCAGATGCACAATATTCGTATACTAACTGGCGACGTCCTAGACTTTTGTCGTACAAAACCAAACAACTCTGGGTTTGTTAAACTTCACAAGTATACTAATTTGTAGGTATTACAATGATGTAGTAAATATAACTTTTCACAGCATGGATCCAACTCCACAGAGATTGCAAACTGCCCTGGGATTATATTCGAATGATCTGTGCGGCTTGGTTGTTTTAAGTGACAATCACGTGGGAAGTTATTCTGGGATAACAAAAGGTATTTCAAAATATCCTATCTGTAAAATCATAAATTAGCACGCGTTTCAACTTTCTTTAATATCAAGTTTAACCGTCTTGCAGAACTTTGTTCCATATGTCAGCTAACGACAGAGTTTCACTTCCCACCAATTGATGATCAGCTGGAAAAAATACGAGAGGACGTCAAGGAAGCTGTTGCGTGGAGACAAGCTCATCACAGAGAAGGCAGCGATCCTCAGGTCAAATGAAGTGACAATTACAGTTTTTCAAAATTCTGTCTGATATTTCAAGAATCAGGCCAAATACTAAATCTTCGTGCATTTTGATCGTTTCCCTGACTTTTCAACATCCTTGCGACGCATAACTAGATAGTTAATAAATTAATTATCGTGCTGCTAATGACTATACAATGGTTTTACTGTAGTTGTTCTCTACTAATACGATGATGAAGCAATTAATGTAATCTTCTGTTAGCAGACAAAAAAATCAACAACCAGTAAAAGTTTGCAGACTGGAGACGTATTTATTACAAGACACTCAAATTTGGCTCAAGTTCACGTTATTTTCCACATGGTCGTCCATGATTCTCTTAGATCAGGTAGGATTATTTTTTTGTTGAAATAACTGGAAATACCCATACCGCTTCCGTAGTTTTTAGTTACCTACCACACTTAACATTCTCTTAATATAGTATTGCGTTGCAGGTGACATAAACTCAAGGCATCCAGCAATTTTAGGTTTGAGGAATATCCTAAAACTAGCCTGCAGTAACGATATCACTACACTAACGATTCCCGTTTTGCTCGTTCATGAAATGACAGAGGTAAATAAAAAATATGGGAAAATGGAAATCCTGTATTAAAACCTGAAACTTTTTGTAGGACATGACGGTCGAATGGTGTACCAAAAGAGCAGAATTGGTTTTCAAATGTGTAAAAGGTTTCATAATAGAGATGGCTTCTTGGGGCAGAGCCGAATTAAAGAATTTACAATTTCTCGTACCAAAGGTTAATTACAAATCGTTAAATATACTTATATCTATGTTATGTTTCGTAATAAATTTGTAACATATTATTCTTATAGGGAATGTCCGAGGAAGTCTTTGGAACCCTGGCAACGATGCTACCAAGCATATTCCGCGTTTCAAAGTCTCTAGTATTCAAAGCCAGCAGTAATCCACAGACACCGAAAAAGTAATTGCAGTATCTAACTGCGCTTTAGTGAATATTGAAAAAAATACATTTTGTTACAATGTATAGAATATCATTCCTACGTCCATTCACTGTGTGCGATATGATTCAGTCAATAAACAGACTGAATCTTAATGAGCTCTTTGTTTATGTATATTAAGGCGGCGGATTTCCAAAAGCAGATAAACGTGACAATCACATAATTGAATATGGATGCTACTGGGAAAACCACTAGAAAATTCTTTCTTCAATCAGCTACGTTTTGTCGTTACTATCATGAAAATATTTAATTAACTACCAGCCATGCACAATATACAATAGTAATTGGTATCATAGAATTAACACAGACTGCAACTGTTTATCGAGCATCGATGGGTCAGTATAAAATGATATAATATTATCAGCAACTCACGCGTGGTACTGTGATAAAGTCTCCTTATCACTTGCCGTCATTTTTTCAAAAACGTTTCCATGAGATACGCAACCATTTTAAATGTTCATCCCAGAGTATTTTCCCGAGAGCAACATCAAACGTCGTGAAAGATCACGCTCCCTTTTTGCTAATTATAGTTGCAAATTTCGCAAGCACCGTCGTGATATTCGATATGTACAGTAGAGCAAGAAAAGTTATCCTCATAGTTAGTATGTATTTCAATTGAAAAAAATACGCGCAATCATGCTTGCGATTGTGTTCAAAAAACAATTAAATTTAACAAGGGTGTTATATGAACGGTAGAGGGATTTATCGAAATTTATCAAAAAAAAAGTGGTGCATTAGCCTTGCGATTTCGAAATAATCACACGTCTGCCACAAATGAATTCTACGTAGTTCCCTGGATTCTTATGTGGAAGACTTATTAGTTCAAACTAGGCAACTCAGTGAAACTCGCGCACGTCGCAAACACATCTTAAGCATTTATTGTAATTCGATCTTATCAAAATGTGGATTCGCATTTTCATCGTTTTGGGATTCATCGCAGTCTCGACTATGGAAAAAAGGGTAAGTGTAAAAAAATAAAATTTTTCTTTAATTTTTTTTGTTAAATTGCTCATTAAAAAGAAATTTCGTTTTTAATAGATGGCTTTGAGTCTTCCGTTTTTCAATTTACTTTCATTTACCTTACAGCTAGATCTATCATCGCATTCACTCACTAAAGAAAAATTCTTTTTGGAACTTCAAGCTCACATTAATCTACATGAAGTAACTGATCTGATTCTACACAACAATAACTTTGACAGTTTTCTCGACTGCTCTGCGAATCTCGATGCGCTTAGAACGCTAGACTTGTCATATAATCACCTTCAAAGATTCTTTTTCCTTTGCAAGGAAGAATACAATTTGATAGTACTAAATGTGAGTCATAATCATCTGGAATATATCAGTGAAGATTCATTAAATCATCGCATACCTAATCTTCAAGTATTAGATCTCTCTTGGAATAGACTTACAGGAGTGAACGAAACGATGCTGGAACATATGCAGGTATACGATAATGGCATCCATTTGAAAGAATATATAAACATATACAGGTTTATTCAGTAGAAACGCACCACCTGAAATTAGCACGCCCATTTGAGTCTTATGGTAAAACCATGTTAAGGTGATGAGTTTGGGCTGAATAACCTGGTATACATTTCCTTTAAACCGAACATTATTTTTTTCAGAAATTAAATAACTTATCAATGGCAAGTAATCCCATAGGAAACGGTATACACGAGAACGCATTTTCAAACTTAAGTTTACTGACGCATTTGAATTTGGAAAATATCTCTGCTAATTACTTTCCCGATTCGCTCTTTCAACCCTTATCGAGCCTACTCAATCTAAATATCTCTTATAACCCTATCGAAACGATTCCTGCTTTACCGACAAGCCTCGAATCCCTCGATATTTCTGGTACGAATATCTTCTATGTAGGGAATGTAATATTACCGAATTTATTAGAGTTATATATGAACGATATGCCAAACGTAACATCAGTGGCTTTAAATGATTTTGAAAATTTCACGAAACTTAATGTCTTATCGATATCAAGATGCAAGAATTTAGTACAATTACGTGTATGGCCACCAAGAAATGATTTGCTACCGCATCTATCCGAGTTGTCGGTCGAGAATGACTCCCTGAACACCATTGATGTTTACCTTCAGCCAATAATGCAGAGAACGCACATAGTGCGACTGGGTGGTAACCCTTGGACATGCGATTGCAATATGCAATGGGTTTTGTCACTGAACAACACAAACAATCCAAGTAGCGAGATAAGGTAAATACACCATTTTTATAATTTATCTTCCTCGTAAAACACAATAAATGTCCACGTACCAAGTAAACACAACATCTTTAAACGTATCCTTATTTCAATTCCTGATGTTTCACAGACTGTCTCTAGATGGCGTTCAGCTATCGTTATATAACTTTTCTAACCCACCAAGAAGACACAAGGTCATAAAAAAGTAACTTCTTTGAATTCCTTCTAAACGTCATCTCAACGTCAAACGTCATAATCAATTGGCATTTAAAAATGTTTATATATTGACTTAAATGTGTATTTATTTTTTTAACTAGTCATTAATATGATCTAATAAGTAAGGTAACTCTAATCAATATATCATAATCAAATGTTCAAATGATCCAACCGTCTCGTTTATCCATTTGTAGATGCAGCTCTCCAAAAGTGCATGAGAACAAACAGTTAAGCAGCATCCCATCACACGAGCTGCAATGCGAATTTCTATCGAGCGACCTGTATCTAGCTCTATGGGCCTGCGTCCTGGTACTAATCCTAGCTGGCATCCTGGCCACCGTGTTCTTCGTAGCAAGAGGACCTCTAACTCAATGGCTGCTACGAAGAAAAAGACGAGATACAGTAACGTACACAAACGTCATGGAGTCAACAGACAATCTGGTTAGAATATTAGCCGACGATGAATCACGCGATGGATTTTAATAATGACCACTGAATTAAACATTCGAGAAATACTTATATGAAATCAGCATTGAAATAATCGGAAAAAAAGGAAAAACAATTGCCACCCATTGTAAAGAATACACGAACAACCGTAAGTCCCTTCGCCACGCCATCTTTCCTACGTGAAAAAAGATGTCAGAAACTTCAATTCGTATTGAAACCTTTTCCGCTACCTTCACTTTAACAAAGTCGAACTTTTGTACAATTGATACAAACACGTGTACATACAGGACTCGAGTATCTCTCGAAAGAGAAGTGAGGCGCGAATAATTTGAAATAGAATATAAACGTCCTCGAGCAAGATGAATTAGGTTTATTAGGTGGCGGCACGTCACTGTTGCGAATAGAAGGGTAAACGTTGAGTGAACGTGTGTGCATTCGCGTACGGCACGTAACATTCCTATCGAGGAATACCTGCTCTCGACCATACCAAGTGCTATTCACGGTATCTCCACAATGCGGCGCCTTCTGTTTTCGAATAAAGTTTCTTCTTACCGTGTTACTAGCCTCCGTTGGAAAAACCCCTTTTGCCGTCGTCCTTGAGTGCACGCTGGATGTAAAGAACTTCTGCACAGCATAAAGAACCGGGATGCCTGATTGCCTCTGAATGGAATGCGGGATTCCATCTTCCTTTTTTTACCTCCGACTCTCTTTCGAAAAGAAAGATGGCGCCGCTGAGGGTCTTCGATGGGCTAGTTACCGACCCCTGGATGAGTGGTTACGTTCGACTCGTTGAATGAGATAATAATGAGAAATCTATGAGTACCTAGATTTCAAAGAAGGCCATATGCTTTCGATATAAAAGTATCGACTAGACTGTTTCATAAGTCGCAAGATTTAACATAAAGGCTGTGTTATACTTTGGCTCAATTTATCGTGCATTATACATAGTATCGAAATATATTTGAAATGAAATTTTTCGAAACGCTTCGCCATGACGAAATTTTTTAATAGACCATTTATATGTATAGAATTGTTAAAGATATTGTTCAATAATTAAAAAAAACGTACCATTGATAATATGAAATACAAGTTGTGTATAGATTCATATATTAAATTCATCCCTCGACGCCTATACAAAATCCGCCCTATGGCTACGCCAGCTAGGGGTCTTTGTCCTAAGTCAAGAATTCGGTACACGCACGTGATTTTGGCTTACGACCAAATGGTGCTATGAAGATCGTCAGTTTCTGTGACGTGGTCCATGATCGCGTGCGATGTAGCGATCAGCCTTTGTACCGAAGTATGATCTTCCTATGGGAAGCCTATTAGGTTACAGCGCGTCTGAACTTGGAACACTGCGCGTATCCTACCTCCATGGCTGGATATTATAGCGAACTATAGAGGTCCAGAGGCCCCACAGCATCTCGATTATAGCGATCTCGCTCAATGGAATATTATAGACTTCTTTTGGGCATCCTGGGAGTAGTGCAGGCTTCGTGTCGAGTGTCCGTAATTCGAGATTCCGTTGGAGCCAATTTGGCAAAGAGCGATGCTCTGGAAAAATGATCCCCTGCCTACCAGCACATAGCGACACTACGATATTTATAAACCCACCTTATGGTATCAGCTATACGTGAACGAGGACCGAGGAATAATGGCGAACACCCACGATAACCTCGTACGAAGATTACGGTAAAAATAATTTTTTAAAAATAAAGAAAACTACGCGAACGAGACTTTTTCTTGGATAATTTTTCAACTTGATATATATATATATATATACACACTCATCAACTGGAGAGGTACTGATTAGAGTTAATCCCGTTATCGAGGTCTTGATTCACAATTCGTTAAACCGGCCATTCTTCTTGGCACTTGTCAGCACTTGGATTTTTTAATTGGACGACTCCGCGTCGATCTCTCTACAGAACCAGCTGGATTAATCAGCTTAAGTCGTGTATTATTAAACTGTTGATAAAAAAATTATTATAATAATTCAACTCCTCTTCTTATTTAACATTACGTCTTTATCCATTTGAATTACTACGGTGGTAATACTAGCGGCCATGAACCACCATAATGCTCTGTACACATTTTTCTAGGATTTGTTGATTTCTATGTATACGGGAACAGGATTTTTATGCATTATATTATATATATATTGTACATATGTATACACATCCATACGTCATAGTAGGTACAGTACCTATATAGTATGTGCACACCGATTTTGGCCTGTGGGTTTTATCTGATTAAACCGACAAGGAAACATGGGGTTATGCGTGTAAGCCTGCGACCGTCCATGGGGAACGTCGAACAAATGAATAATGAAAATAAAACCCATGATGCTATCGGTAAGCATCACGGGATTACATACGCATCAGCGCGCCCGCGATGAACTTATGGAACCCTATACAAAACATAAACGCACTCCTCTCTGTATACATGTAATACGTAAAGAAGATATATTTTTTTTTGTTATCCCCAGTAGTCATGCTTTCGACAACTGCGCCTTTGTCTAACAATAAGAGTACCGAACGTATATCGCGGCGATGAAAACTGATGGAGGAAATAAAAAAAAAAGCAAGAAACAATAATTAACATTGGACGTTAAAAAAAATTCGCAGTCACAATAAAAAGAGGCGATCATGTCGCGAACGCACGATTAATAAAATAACGAGAAAATTATGGATACAGGATTAAAAAACGAACGAAGATAAATTGGTAACAATATTTGTATACTGGCTAACGCGCGTTCAATTCTTATCAATGATTAGTCGATTGTGACGAGTTCTTAAAAAAAATATGGCAACTTTGATCCTCTAGGCGACCTATAACATGGCGCAAGGCTCGTTTAAATGGACGAGGGATACATTATTCCTACTACGTAATGTCGTATATACATGTGTATATAGATATATATGCACGAGCGTGTACACGCTTCCCCATTTTACATAGATCGGGATATAATACAGTAGCGAGTCGAAGGGGGTTGTCGGAGCCCCGTAGTCGGATATAATGGTTGCCAAATGTGTCCTGCTTTTCGGACGCGGCATTATGCCAAGGTGTGAACTGCGGGACACAAATACTCCGTACCCAGGGCACAAAGGTAAAACCCACCGAGCAAGCCGCTTACGATCAATACCGATCCTCTCGGCGATCTTTCGTGTCAGTTGTCGAAAAGTGTCCGGCTTACAATGCCAAATAGGTGAATGCTTCTTAAATACCTACTTCCATTTCTTGGATCGTACCCGAGCTGGTACCCCAAGTCCCCGCAATTCGAGAGAAGGCACGTTCCTCGGGGATACTGTGTATTACTAATATTATCCGAAATCGGCAGATTACACGAAAATAATTTTCTCGGTTTCCATCTCACTCCGTGCAATACATGATACCTTATAGTACAGTACTTATGTATTCTAAGATTCGTAGCATTTACATAGTGACATCAAAATTATTCAACGCTTGAGGCTAGATATACAAATTTTGAGGTTAGATATGCTAATTCTGACACGTATGTGAGGTAACTTTAGATATTACTATTAAATAAAAGACAGTGATACGCTGTACAAGACTTATTAATTTTTCATTCGTGTACGTGTGAAACGCGATAATTACAATCGGTCTTTTAATCGAAAGCGGGTAATGCTCGCGTGACGTTCTACGCCAGGTTAAATAATTAATTACTGATATATTTACAGGTAAAAGAAAATAATTACAGATTGCTAGATTTATCACGACAAAAAAAATATGAGACAGTTCTGATAATTTAGCACAGATATATGCTTGATTAATTTCTGTACTAACTCGATACATGAAAATTGAAAAAGAGCGAAAATCTATGTTCATCCGTGTAAAACAAAATATTTCATGGGATCGGAGCAGAAACATGAACGTAGCAGGTTATGGCGACACAACAGAAGATCGTATCGCGACTTCTTTCGCAAGCAATACCTAAAGAGCATACCAACGGTAATCCCGGTTCCTGGGGAATCCTCACGTTCGCGAGGATACCCTCCTTAAAAGTTTTGCACCTGAGCCAAGGACCATCCATCCATCCCCTTCGTAATTACTTCCAGATGTGACCTCCCTGTGTACTTGTCCAGTGCATTTCGCATTTGCATAGTTTATTGTCGGTGCAGCCCTTATAGACCTGGACTTTGAAGGTGCTGGGTACAGTAGGTACAGTACGTACTCTTCGCTCTGTACTCTATGGTTTCTATGAAGTCTACACCTACTACTGTAGTAAAGGCAAGAGAACCTGTCGCTTGTACGACTGACGACAATTCGCCAACCTGCCTGCACCGTTCATCTATACGTAGCGTCTCCATGAGACGACCTGGTGCAAGTTTACACGGGATCGACAAACGGGGGACCACTTTGGATCGATAACTTTATTGACTGCCCTGAGTCGAGTGGTATCGTAAACTTGAAATATGTCCAAAACTTTCCTTTCCTCCGTCCCATCATCATGGCGTCCAGTCTCCACTGTTTTATCAAATACTTCCTATTCCCATTTGGTATTCCTGAAATTTTTTATATTGTGTATACTATACGAGTTTAGTCTATAGTACGTTTGATACTTACTGCACAGATGTTTAAAATGATTTGCGAATCCTATAGTTGTCCTTGGAAAATCGTTTAAGAGCTGGAGAATTTGTTGAAAAGTTGTCGCTTTTAAAAGGCCACCCGTTCGCCAGACTAAGATGTAACAACAAACAGCTTGGAAGACGTATTTGCTGCCGGCGATATCGAGTTCCCGGCACTTCCTGCGCTGGCTGCGTTTCTATACTTCATTCCTGGCGCCACCACGTTTCGTCTTGACGTCTCTCGGATTGACGAGCGCCACCCCTAAAGACAACAAGAATAGCCCCTGTCTTCTCTGGGAGTGCATTTACTTGCGAACATACTTTTTCTTTTTTTTTTTCAATCTTTTTCTTCAACGACTATAGGTATGACTGGAATGTTACTTATTAAGAGTAGGAAACAGTATGGGAATACGGTGTACCAAAATAAACCCTCGATTTAATATTTTTCTACAAGAAGTACGTATGTCAAGGTTTGAAGCGTGATATGTCATGCGTACAATTTGTGAAATGGGTACTTGGTTGTAAAATGGCTGTAGAGGAATATAAAAATTTTCTATGTATTCAGTAAAATGGACACGATATTACGGTCGAACGACACCCGATGCACTCGCCGATTCATCCGCGAAATTGTGGTCCGCTGTGCGAATTTGCAAACCGGGATTAAAATCATAATAAAGTCGGAGTACCGTGAAAACGTTGGCCAACCTGCTATGTATAATTGGAATAAATCAGACATAATACATACTGTGCTGAAAAATATAAATAACATATAAAGTCAGATATGAATAATTAAATACCTGCACCATGTTTAATTTTGCCAGGGACTTTGATTTAGGATTAACAAATTTTAATATAAAATAATTAATTGACGAGTGAACACTATAATTTTTGTTAAATTCTTTATATAATTTAGTCTAATTCACTCGATCGTTAACGAATTCACTCAAGACCGCCAGATCAGCCACGTCAAACCATCATGGATATTTATGTTTGATAACGCAGTGTTATTGAGTTCAGACTTAAAGGCTCACATATTAGCTACCTACCTAGGTGGTAGAGCGGAATTAGTTAAGCCTTCGTTAACGACCTCATTAACCCCAGAGTTTGACTAGCGAGGGATGGTTAGTCAAAGTTCCCAAAAGTAAAATAAACAAATCGCCGTGGCGCCATCGCAGATGCGTCCCGTCATCCCACGGGCCCCTGGGCTGTGATCACAGCCAGGTTCCTTGGCTCCTGCGGGAGTACCAGTGAGTCCTGGTTCCTTGCGGTCGAACCACACCGGTAACGGTACCTCGAATTTCATCCCTCTGTCTCCGACCAGCTTGAAACTCCTGAGTAAACATCTTGAGTCGTAGGTCGGCGCCACTTGCACACCGTTTCTTTCAAAAATTAACTTTTTCATTGGGGAGCCTCCGCAAGAGTTTCATTTACAGTAAGACAGCCACATCATTAAATATCTTAAGTGAAATTTTTGTAAAATATTTAGAAAATTCGTTATAAGTCAAAGCAGCATTCAATTTTTATATGAATAAAAAATTTTTTGGAGACCAACAAAGTTAATATTACCTCGGGTCTTGAAATCGATCTAAATTTCCATCATACATACAAAAATGAATAAGCACTTCGGCTTCGGACAATTTCGATTTGTGCCAAATATCCCAAACGATGAATCAAACAAAAATTGTCCTTATCCAAATATACCTAACCTGAATAAAGAACCAGACTGTTTTGTTAGCGTTGTCCGCTTTACTACCTCTATACCTGCTAATAGATACTGTGTTTTACTACGGGGCAATATGATCGAAGATATCCGCGTTATAGTACCAGCAGGATAATCACAATATTTTAGGTATCCGTAAGCATAATCTAATAAAATAAAAATTTTCAGTGACTAATTAGCACAATATCTAATAATGTATTTAACTACAGCCGCAACCATCACTCGCTCTACTCTCCCTCCTGCCATCTTTCGGCAATACTATAAGACATATGTCCCTATACAAGGGAAGGAAGCTCCCATTAGCAAAGCCGTTAAATAATAAAGCCGCCATATTAGGTACAGACACCCCATAGACAGCACAACCAAAAGAGGATTATCCCACAGCGATACATCGACCTTCCCTACTCGCATGTATGCCAATGCCATAATGGGTACCCATAACGGATTCCACTCCATGTTAACCACAGTAAATTCAATGTTTAAAACATTGTCGAGACATGTTACTCATAAGAAATATCACAGTTCAACACTATATTTATAAGCACAAGCAACTTACACGATCTGCTCGCCGCGATACAGTCAGCAGTATCAATTTTTTTGCAAAACACTTTTCACTCCATTTTCTACGGTAAAAAGCCAGCGCGATATAAACAGTGAAAAATCAGCACGAGTTCCGAGCACGCGATTAAATCGTCTGCGCGAAGTATTTTCCGCTACAGTGGCGCCGCCTTCGACTCGTAAGTTCTCGCAACGGAATTTAATAAGGTAATGGCGAAGCCGATAGATGGCAGATGGTGTTTGCGATTTCACGTACACTGTATTATGCTCGATGCACATAGTACGAATGTATATTATCGTGTACATAAGTTTACAGGCACGCGAGCGAAGATAGATGGGAAGTCTATGCCGGAGACAGAAAGACAAAGATGCCTGTCAGTAGATATACAGTTAGCGGATATGAAGTTAGGGAATAGAACCTGGTCTCGTATACTGGAGAAATAACGTGAGTAGATATATATATATATGTATATACACATAAGCGGGACTATGAAGACTATGAAGGGCTGAAAGGTTTGAGCTTATAGAACGGATGGAACGACAGAGGATGAAAAAGGAAAATGGCTGCCGTGCGACGGAGTCATTTGTCTCCGACGCCACGCGTCAGCAAACAAACGACACACGCGATAGTTCGATCCGCGTAATCGAGGGTGGATGATGGAACAATATACCTTGCTGGCGTTATCACGACATTTATCTACGAGACATCTCGCTGCTCGATATTCTATTATATCCTAGGATATAATCCATTATCAAATGTCTTCCTGGACTTGTGACGATCTGCATACAGTATACTATATTCGTATGCAGGTATACTACGTGCTTCGATGACACGTCTTGCGGGGAAACGAACGAATTTAAAAACGAGTTTAACAATTGTTGAAACCTTGAAGAGCAAGTTAGACGGGATAAACTAGAGATTGAGGTCACTGGGTAATCATAGACAAATTGCATCACAATGTCATTTGCTTCTAACGTATAGAAATTTCGTTGATACAGAATCTGTTTCCCATGAAGAACCAGACAGCACTGTCACCGTAGAATGTAACCACCAGTCAGTGGCTAATTGGGCCCAATAAGTATTTACCACCTCTCGATTTTCCCGTCGCTCACTCCGCGCTATGGGGGTCTTGCTGGTACCTCATTGTCTCCCTGCCTTAGTTGCACCCTTCGTGAAAGCTCTGGGGAAACCCAGAGTCCCTCTGTATATTACGTCCCAACTTCTACCTACAGGACTGTGTCTAGTCGTAAAAACATATATTTGAGGAAACCGGTATACCGGGTTGCTTTGCCGAGATTTTAACACCTGATTTGCTGGTATATCAACCAAGAAGAGTAAGACAACGAGAGGTAACTGTATATTATAATATTACTAAGTAAATTAATTTTTTTTTCCTAATGCCATGACATAATATGGTATGTACTACATAACATTTTTTAAATTTTTTTTATTTTTTTCAATACAGTGATTATAATCCACGAGCATCTCGCCGGCCCAATGATTATTTAATAAGGCGTGCGGTAAGCCACTGGTGTCCCCAGAGAACGTCCAGTTCTAAAATGCGAGTTGGCCGCGCAGGAGGGTGGCGCTGGGTATATACACAGCAATGGCGAATATCTGCAAAAGGGTGCAAAAGCGTGATATGAGTAATAGAGAACGTGAAAGGATCTAAGGATTCTGATGGCAACGTCCGACTAACAAGTCGTAGGTCGTTAGTGCCGGGAAGGCGGTAATAAAGTCCAACCATTATCGGATGCTCTCGCCGTTGTCCATACAGAAGGATTATAAGATAGCCAGCGATTATTTCCCGATTTTAAATAAATATGCAGAAATCGTTCTCACCAAGGAACAAGACAACCACTGAGTGAATTTATGTGCGGCGTATATTAAGAGTCGGTCGGTGCCTTCGGGAAAACCCCGTAGCAATTGGCGAAAACTTGTAATAACCGCCTAAGCCGATTTTCCTTTCTTACAAATCCGATCAAGCGAACTAATTATAACGGAGTCCTTGAAAACGGAACGATATTAGTTCGAACCAAGTAAAATTCACATGGCATTCGTGTACGGATACGATAAGAAAAACAGTTTGGATTTTTATGTATCTTTAATATGGGTCACGTGAAGTCAACGTTACACGATGCAAAATTTACTATAGAAAACGGATGCGGGTTAGGCCCGATTGCTCCGGTTTCCGGGGAAGTTGCAAATGAGAATATTTGCCGAGACTAAGGTCGACGTCGTCTCTCGACGCTCGATAACGCGAAGCGTCGCGACGCTCGAGCTTTCGGCGCCGTCGCACATCCTTTTCCTCGCTCCTCCCTCCTTATCACTCCTTCGCTTCAATTCTCTCACCGCCGAGTCTCTCTCGTTTCATTCGAACCCCAGATGCTCCGAGAATTCTCTTGTAGGAATGGCTACTGTAGATGGAAGTTCAAAAGGTCGTTCTCCACTTTGAAATCCGACTGATAACGAAGTGGATGCTTTCGGGGAAATTTGGTCACGCTGTAATTCTCATACGAATCCATTTAATATCGATACATAACACAGGCATATGGTTCGTGTAATTTCACTCGTCTTATCTAAAGCTACGAGTTCTCCATGAGATTCCTGAAACTTCTTAGTGACGTTACCCATCCACGTGTTTCCAGCTGTATGCGATATATAGTAATAGCACAGGGTAAAGGGAACAGAGTTAAGGTGTTGGGAATCCTATGAAGTGCTATAGATATACTAAATAATAAAACGTGATTACTCCAATATGTACAGCTCCATGAAACAAGTGAAGCCCGTATCGGTATAGAAAAGCAATCATGGGTTTGAAGTCGATGGCATAAATAAGAGCTCGTCTTAGTGAGTAGCAGCAAGGTGGGAGGAGGGGGGTGGGGGGGAGAAGTGTCCATCTCAGATTATCGGCGAACCGCAATAGAGTGAGAAGAAGAAGAAGAGGTAGATAAGAGAGGTAAGAAGAAGAGGGTATACGGTGGAAGGTAGGAGTGAGCTGATCTCTACTACGATCATACTCTTCTCCCTGGTTTCACTATATCTGTCTCTCTCTGTCGCACTCTTGAAAGAGAGGCGTGAGAGACTCCCGGGTTGGGAGAGCGTGTTGGGAGACCCAGAGAGGTAGGAGAGTCCCGAGTTACTGTGGTGGGGATAATTAAACTACCACAAGCGCAAAAGGGAAGTCAGGGGAAGGTCAGAGAAAGGTTGCCATGACGACGAGGATAGGATCCGGCCAATCGTGGGGTGGCAGGGAGGCGTGGTTTGTCATTGGCCGAGGTTCCCGAAGAGGTAGGTAGTAGCGACTCCCGGTGCAACGCGGACAAACGTATCATGCAGGGAAGGGCTGGGGCCGAGATGCCGGGTTGTAAGCGAAACCAGTTTGCTATCCGATACGATCGAGGCAACAGCCCTGCTTTCTGCCGTGTGATCCCCCAAACAACTCCAAAGTGTTAGTATTATCGGTAGTGGTTCTTCTTGCCTTGTCTCTGCAGGAGCGTCGTTGAGCAAGGAGTTTTGACAGTCTGCCAAAAAGCTACTCCAGACCTGGACGTTCGCGGCTCGGTGCGACAATTTGTATTATGAGCTGAATATAATTGACCGGTTTGCTTATCTCGAAGGCCTTTTTACAAAGGTCAATTCATGCTGGGAGAATGTGTCATGTGTGTTTTGGACGGGTTGCCATCCTAGTAGAGAATTTCGTGAGTCCTTACGTTACTGGGGGATACTCGTGTTGACAGTGTGTCAGTCTGGATTTGAAATTGTCAGGAAGCCGAAAAACAATGCTGAATGAAGCAGCCAACAACTAGTCCCGCAGTGTTTATTTAAATGTCCAGAGTCGCCGGTACTTGGGATTTAATCTGTACAGGTGATAATATTTGAGCTCCTATCGAAAGTACCCCGAATGACGAAGGCACTGACAGCAGCGAATGTCAATATCTCAAGTAATCGACGGAGTGTGACAGTCCGTGACTTCTATTCACCTTTAGTGGGCATTTCCCCTGAGACCTATTGATTATACCTGTTACGGATGAATTTAAGATTTACTAGAGACAAGTCATAAGCACTGCGACCAAATGAGAAGCGCAAGAGCGAAATACAAAGGGATGCTCAAGTGCCCTAGAGCAGTACTCAAAAAATGACTCAGCACGGGTGAGTTCGATGCCGACAGACGTCTGAAGCCAGGACTGCCAAACCAGGAAGGTACCACGAGATTAGGATTTGGAACGTGATCGAAGGAAAGTCGCTGCGAGATGTCGGCCGTTGCACCAGCCGGTACGGGCACCACGACAACCAGTGCCAATGGCCCTATAGTCCCGGCGCCGGTTTTCGCACTGCCGACGCTCTCGTTTACGGTCGGCCAGGTCGCCACGGTCTGCGAAACCCTGGAGGAGAGCGGCGACATCGAGAGGCTGGCACGCTTCCTCTGGAGCCTGCCGGTCGCTCATCCGAACATCCAGGAACTTAACCAAAGCGAGGCCGTCCTGAGGGCCAGGGCCATCGTGGCCTTTCATTCGGGCCATTACAGGGAACTTTATGCCATACTTGAGAGGCACAAATTCACCAAGGACTCGCACGGCAAGCTGCAAGCTATGTGGCTCGAGGCCCATTATCAGGAGGCTGAGAAACTACGTGGCAGACCTTTGGGACCCGTGGACAAGTATCGTGTTCGAAAGAAATTTCCACTTCCGCGCACAATCTGGGATGGAGAACAGAAGACTCACTGCTTCAAGGAGAGGACGAGGTCCTTGCTAAGAGAATGGTACCTACAGGATCCCTATCCCAATCCTGGAAAGAAACGGGAACTGGCTGCCGCTACGGGACTCACCCCGACGCAAGTTGGAAACTGGTTTAAGAATAGGAGACAGAGGGACAGGGCTGCTGCTGCCAAAAATAGGTATGTCAGGCACTTTTTTACTCGTACACCAATTTTTTATTACTCTTTTTTGGAAATTGACCTTCGACCAGTCACTTTTGTCGGGCCTACGTACGTCGTGAAATTTTGGATTTTTTTTTTTGATTTTTCAAACTTCAATGAAATTTTTCCAAATTTCCAGTACCGATACTATAACCATACTTGTACATGGTTCATTTTGAACCTTTACTAACTGGGGCTCGTCCCTTCCTTTATGTACAAGAGGATATAACACGTGCCGAAACAATGAACTCGCACAGAACACATGTTTGTCACATTGTTTCAAAGAGATCCCAAAGAATGTGGAATTTCTACGCGGCTAACGAAAATTCTCGTGATACCTGCCTTAATGACTGTCACGGTAAAAATCGTCTATTGCGCCGTAAAACCTTACTGTAAAAACATAGCGACCCTTTAAACCCAAATTAAAGTACGAAAAGGCATCAAAGGAACGAGGTTATTGAAAAAAAAACCCAGATTGAATAAATGAATGAGGTTTTACTGGATTTCCGTAAACTTTAATCAACAATAAACATAATCAGATTATCCATACCAGTGCGTCAATAAAATTATTAAGTCCCAAAATGAAGTACCAACATTTTCAAACAATTGAAATCTCATTTTTACAAGATTTCGTTGTACCACCTTTTTTTTCTTTAATACCTGTATATCAGTAACCTGTAAATCGATTTTTTATCCATATAATATTTTCTTCATTAAGTATCATTTAATAGAAGTTAATCGCGAAACGATTAGCGGTTTAGCCCCCTTTAGACAAATTGTTATGTTGTCCTCAGCAAACGAGCCTTTGTAGCCTGCCCCAATGTGCTCGACGAGGGTCGCGTAATTTCATTTTGACGTCCGACGGAGGGTCGCTGCCGTCGGCTCGACGATTTTCACATTACGTCTTTCAAATCGCGTTTCGCAAAAGGCCCCTCTCGAGCACCAAGATCTATACCATTCACAGTCACCCATGTTTCTGAATACTACGAAGACGTCTAGTCGTTGCTTTCACGATATAAATTAATTTCCACAAGGAATACATTGCGTTGCCCTATACAAAAAATTAGAGTATATTTATTTGTATAAAATTTAACATAAATTTTTCAAAATTCATAATTACTGCAGTTGACACTACATACGTCAAAGTCTCTTCCAAGTTCTGACGGCTAAGTTGGATTTCCCAAGATTGTAGTAATAATAATAATAATAATCTCTACCGCCCTTACTTCAGTCACGATGTTCATTAAAGGGTTCGCACTTGAATAGTTCCTGTAGGGTTTACCACCTGTCGTTCTACCGTTTTATTCGTATCGCAGGTAACGACTGGTGGTTACAGTGTCTTGCTATTTTCCTGTTCTTCCAACGTTGTAAGTCGTTATTGTTACCCTAAGGAGACGTCACATGCGAAAATACGGTAACCCGGGGGGATGTACTTGGGTTTTTCCCGTACCGTTTACGGCTCTTCGCACTCGGTATTTCTTATTGGTGGCACTATAGTCCCATAATTTATGGGGCCTGGGGAAAACCAGACCGATTTATATAGACTCGTATCTGTGTAGAATTTACTAAGGATAAATGGCGCCTTTATGTACGCGACGATATCATATGCAAATTTCTTAAAAATTTTCGAGTATCAGAAAGTCTTATCGACAATTTTTTTAAAATGGTTATATTTTGTTCAATTATTATTTTTGATCATGTTACATTAACACACAAAAAGAGTGATTATGGCTGCCAGAATGAATATATCGACAATATTTTATCTTTTTTAACACAAATCGTATTGTGCCACTGGACTTTTATATCAGTCACGTAACACGTACTGTATTTTAAATATAACAGAGTATAACAGTGATTACCGTGCAGAGTAGTAAAATAAATAATAAATTGAAGTTGATCAACTGACGCGGTTTACAAAATGACTGAATCTTTTAAATAATGTCATTGGCAGGATCAATGAATAATCATTGGTACTTTAAATAAATTATTTTACATTTATCTTTGTCGAAACGTATTTCCCTCGTTACATGTATTATTCATAGTTTTGTAAAAATAATTTAATTCATCCGATTCGTGACCAAATTTTTATTCGCAAATTTCATGCAAATCATTATTTACCATGAAAATTCATTTTCCGTCATTTTTCACAGCGTCGTGTCCCGCATAACGAATTTCATTCCGATTAAGTCATTACTAGCCGTTACCGAGGACTGCCATAATTGATATATCGTTAACGGCCAACGATCGTTCATTCGTTCTGGTTTAATTAGTCGTAATGACTGTGCACGGCATAGGAAGTTTTCTTGGTCTTTACACTTTACGTATCCAATCTGTTGCACACGACTGACACAAATAGTCGATGCAGGCAAATAGCAGAAAATATTAAATTCATTAGCTTTCATTTACATGATACACATCACGTGTCGTATACGTTGAGACTACGATAATCGAATAATTTTCAAAATTATTTCTACCCCCAAAAAAAATGTCAAAGTGATCGCCGTCACATTTCCTACGAAAAAAAATCGAAGTTGAAAAATTCGAAAATACATCCCCCGTTGCGACACAATTTTTAGCAGACAGCCTGGTGCCGTGGACCGAGGGTCTCGTTTCCAAATTCCATCCCCGTAACAGCTACAGCTATACCTATCGTTCGAAGATGACATCAGGTTACGAGATATACAAATAAACCGCAAGCCTGGACATTGCTGTATAGTATCTCATTTGAAAGTTAAAAAAAATTTTTTAAAAATGACGTGCATAGACCCATATCCAGAATTTTGCTAGACCCACCCCTAAATATGTAATATAAAAAAGAAAAGTACTCGGGAGAATAAAATTCAAAATTTCCTAACGTAATCATAAATTTTTTTGTATTCCTGGACTCGCGCCACATTTTTCACGTAATTCCAGAGGAGCGAGTAGTCGCATTTACGAGAATTCATCCATCTTCCAAGCGAATCCACTGAACAGAGTTCGTACGGAGCGACAAGAGAAAGACGAGGCATAGAAAACGAGAACGAAGATATACATAGACGAAGTGGAGAGAGCGAGAGGGAGAATAGGGATAGCGGATAGGCGCCCGGAGGACTCCGTGGAGGTTCTTTCATGAATGTCGATCCGCACAGAGTCAGATGCTGCCAGCAGCCTCGTGGTATATTTTCGCGGTCCAGCGAGCGAGTTATTCAATATGCTCAACCCCGAAAGCCCTGGAGCAATCTCCGTGCGTGTATGTATAGCGAAGCAGAGTCGCCGGCTACGTCATAGAGAGAAACGTTGCCAGGAAGACCGGGTTGGCTGCGCCCTCACACCAAGGGTTGAACCCCCCCCCCCACTATCCCTCTTCTCCTCTCTCTCGCACTCACTTCACTTCTCATCGGTGCTCTCCTATGACCTCATACTCTTCCGTTCACTCCCCTCTGCACATTGCAGGCTTTCCAGGGGGTGGCTTAGTCTACGCGGGCTCTCTTGCCCTGAGAGTTATCAGATTTTGATAAAGTCCCTGGTGTATCAGAGGGCGTGCTGTTTGTGATTCCATGCGTATATCAACTGGCTATGCGATTTTACACGAGAACCTGTCGCTTCGTACGTTCTCGCCTTTAGCTAGTTTCACGTTCGACGAGTCTTATACCCCATAAAGATATACATACATTAGTAGAGCATAGTGAAATTTTGACGTCAGTTCGTGAAATTGTTATTCGCAATAAATCAGTTAAATTTCATTTGAACGCCACCATTCGTATACTGCTACAAAATCATCCCAGGCATTATCTAAGTGGCTTAGTGTCTCTCCCGGCCGTGACTATTCCGAAACGTCATTTTCATATAACTCGATTTGTTTCCCTGTCTCTCCTACGGAGATTACGTACACGTGTACCACGGAGACATATACAAGAAAGACACGTCGCCGAGTCACGGTCAAGTGTCATTCGCGGATGATTCTCCGCTATCTTGATGACCTTAAGCGAGAAACAAGCAAGACACGGCAAATGTCATCGCCCCAATGTCCAATCGGGAATGTCCGTTCGCAGATGGACGACAGCTGTCCGACAAACGAGGAGGATTCTACTACTCGTTGACGCGTCCGAGTGGCAACCGGCGACCCACGCTGAACGAAATTCAATTCGAGATTCCCGACGCAGCTTGCCGCATCAGGATCCGAAAACTATTAGCGTCCTGGTTATAAGGGCAGAAGAAACGTAGCCGAAGGAGGTAGCCGGGACTGGCAGATTTTTAGAGAAAGGAAGGAGTCCTTTTGCCTCTGCGAAATCCCTTCGTTCTTCTCTCTCTCTCTCTCTTTTCTACTTTCGGCTCTTACCTCGGGCAGTTCCTCTCTCTCTCTCTCTCTCGGCGAGAATATATATCAAGACAAAGGCAATGATTAATTCTACGCTGCGATGTCCGAGATCATTAGCGCCCGCTGCCATGACACCTGCTAGCACGAGCTCTTCGTGATAGATTACGAACGGTGGACGGGGATCGGACCTGTGCTTTCTAATGATTGTGAATTTTGACATTCCCGCGATATCCAGGGACTGGAGTGGGTGTAGAAAAAAATTTATGGGTATACGTATGTATATAGGGAAGGTATTACTTGCCGCCGCGGGTGGCCCTCGGAATCACGTAGCAGCTTTTTGTCAAAGCTTGTCACGATACTGCGTGATTGATGGTGCTCCTCTTCTTGAATCTACGAGATCGCCCGTTCTTCGGGGTTACTCCGTTTCTCCTAACACTCTTTCGCATTCTTTTTTTTATCTTTTTTTTTTAATTTCAATTCACTCGTATACTGTCTTACCAGCGTGTCGTGGTTGAGTGTGATTTTATGTTATGAAGTTGTTATGATTTTGTGAATGAAAAATCGTGATATCGCATAACGTGCAATAATTTTTCGAACGGTACAAAAGGAAAAGTCACTTCAAGTATAAGGTAAACTTACACTGGGGAAATAATCGTTCCTCGTACTGTCGTACGATGCTACC